CCAAAAAAAAAAAAAAAAAAAAAAAGCAGAAGGGTCACTTGCTCAGTTACGTTAGAGAGACCACTCTGCCGATAGTGGAAAACAGAAATGGACTTGAGGGGCTGGGAAGGTAGCTCAGTGTAGAGTGCTTGTCTTTCATGCATAAGGCCCTGGGTTCGATTCCGCAGCACCACATATGCAGAAAAAGCCAGAAGTGGCCCTGTGGCTCAAGTGGTAGAGTGCTTGCCTTTAGCAGAAGAGCTGAAGGACAGCGCTCAGGCCCAGAGTTCAAGCCCCGTGACTGACAAAAAAAAAAGTGTGATTATAAAAGGAATAGCCCATCCGGCGGCGGTGGCTCATGCCTGTAATCCTAGCTACTCAGGAGGCTGAGATCTGAGGATCTCGGTTCAAAGCCAGCCCGGGCAGGAAAGTCTGTGAGACTCTTATCGCCAATAAAGCATTAAAAAACCAGAAGTGGTGCTGTGGTTCAAGTGGTAGAGCACTGACTTTGAGCTGAAGAGCGCAAGGACAGCGCCCAAGCCCAGAGTTCAAGCCCCATGACTGACAAAAAAAAAAAAGGAATAGCCCATGTTTCTGTCAAGTTATTATTAGCAGTGTACACCACACTGAACTATCTAATTTACTTTTCCTAGACATGAGATGAGAGAGCGACAGAGAACATGCTTGTTTTACTTTTTGAATTTGGGGATGGGAAGGTTGACAATGTCTCAGGCTTATGATATGCTATTTGAGGTATCTGAAAGAACATCCTAATGCACATATCATGAGACATGTAAGTCCAGTTACCAGAAAAGAGCTTTGGGTTGAAGACTACAGAAATAAAATATACACAGCAACTGCTGGAAATACTTTTCTAAGTATCTGTTATTCATGCCAAAATGTATTTATTTTCCACATTCCTGTAGAGTGTTGGAAATAGTGCTAGGCAAAATAAACAGTGAATTAAGGGGCTGGGAAGGTGGCTCAGTGGTAAAGCGCTTGCCTTGCATGTCTCTGAGGCCCTGGGTTCGATTCCTCAGCACCACATAAAAAAAAAGAAAAAAGCCAGAAGTGGTGCTGTGGCTCAAGTGGTAGAGCGCTAGCCTTGAGCTGAAGAGCTGAGGGACAGCGCCCAGGCCCAGAGTTCAGGCCTCACGACCAGACCCAAAAAAAAAAAAAAAAAAAGTGAATTAAGATTCAGTACCATCCTTCAAGAAGCTCCTACTTAGTAGGGCTACATCTGTAGTATTAGCTATTCAAATAGCTGAGATCTGAAGATTAGGGTTCAAAACTAGTCAAGACAGACAAATCCACAAGACTGTTATCTATAATTAATTAGCAAAAAGTGGGAAAAGTGGGAAGTGGATGAATAGCTCAAGGGTTAGAGCACCAACCCTGAATTAAAAGGTCAGCAAAAGAGCAAAGCCTTGAATTCAAGCCCTAATACCAGAACTAAAAAAATAAAGTGCCTACTTAGTGGAAGTGGCTTAACAAAGTATTACCAGTACAAGGAAGTATAATAAAAAATATGTAATAAATAGCAATTTGTAGAACCAAGGAGGCTTCACACTTTATATAAACTCTTACAGAGTTAAAGGCTGGGCAACCATGGTTCATACCTGCAATCCTAGCTACTCAGGAAGCAGAGATCGGGAGAATCAAGGTTCCAGGCCAGCCTAGGCAAAAAAATTCCAGACATCTTCACAATAGAAAAAGCTAGTCATGATGGCACAAGCCTGTTGTCCCAGCTACAGTGTGAAGTGAACATAAAAGGATTGGAGCCAGGCACCAGAGGCTGAGAAGCACGTAGCTACTCAGGAGGCTGAGATCTGAGGATTGTGGTTCAATGTCAAAGCAGCAAAGTTCATGGGGCTCTAATGTCCAATTAACCACTCAGAAAACCGGAAGTGGCGGTGAAGAGCCGAGGTGCAGTGCCCAGGCCCAGAGTTCAATCCCTACGACTGACCCAAAAAAATCCCAGAAACATTTTTTTAAAAGAAAAGAAAAATATTAGAAAATATATCAGAAAAACAATGAAACATCTCAACATGGAAATAGAAAACAATAACAAAGAAAAAGAATGATAGGCACATATGACCATCTTTTCAGCAAACATAAGCAAAGAGTTGGGGATGTAACTCAGTGGTAGCGTATGCACATGGCATTGGGTTTGATCCCAGCACCACAAAAAGAGAAAAGACACTAATGCTGGCCATGGTGGTAGACATTTGTAACCTTAAACAAAAAAGATAGCAATATCCATATGAGGCTTGCTCAGTTGTATGAACAGTTTGAGCCAACAGACGATCAAGTGGTATGAACAGACAATCCATATTAGAACAATGGTGTATTGGTGATCAGTCCCTAGTGAGTTTAAATGAAACTGGCACACTCAAAACCAGCCAGGACAAAACATGAGTTCTTTATTTTATTTTTTGTCAGTCCCAGGGCCTGAACTCCCAGGGCCTGGATGCTATCCCTTAACTTTTTTGCTCAGGGCTAGTACTCTACCACTTGAGCCAAAGCTCCATTCCCAGCTTTTTGGTGGTTAATTGGAGATAAGTCTTTCAGATTTTCCTGCCCTGGCTGGCTTTGAACCACAAGATCTGAGCCTCCTGAGAAGCTAGAATTACAGGAATGAGCCACCAGCACCTGGTAAAATGGATTTCTGGGGAAAAAAATATACATTTTGTTGGAAACAAAAGATTCAGTTTCAGAGAACTATGAAAATAAGGTATTAAAAGAAATATTTTGGGCTGGGTGCTGGTGGCTCACACCTATAATCCTAGCTGTTCAGGAAGCTGAGATTGAGAATTCTATACTAGAAAAGTCCATGAGACTCTTACCTCTAATTAACCAGCAAAAAGGTAAAGGCAGAGGTATGGTTCAGGTGATAAAATGCCAGCCTTGAGCAAAAACTAATCAAGAGTGAAAGGTCCTAGTTTAAGCTGCTGGCGGAGGCAGAGGAGGAAGAGGGGGAGGAGGAGGAAGGGGAGGAGGAGGAGGGGGAGGGGGAGGAGGGGGAGGAGGGGGAGGAGGAAGAGGAAGAGGGGGAGGAGGAAGAGGGGGAGGAGGAGGAGGGGGAGGAGGGGGAGGGGGAGCAGGAGGGGGAGGAGGAGGAGGAGGAGGAGGAGGGAAGGGAGGGGGGAAGGGAGGGAGGGAGGGAGGGAGGGAGGGAGGAAGAAGAGGAGGAGGGGGTAAGGAAGATATTTAGGTTTGACTGAATTCTGGCTCTTCTACCCTGGTTGGATGACGTTCAATAACCTTTTCATACTCTTGAGTCTCTGTATCATCTGTAAGACAGTACTGAAAATAATGCAAAATGTAAAGCCAAGAAATTAAACACAATGACATAAAGTGCTTAAAACAGTGCCTGGGATATCAATACAAATGTAATGGATGGATGGATATATAAGCTACCTTCTTCACCAATAAAGATGAAATTTGGCACATTATAGACCAAAAATGTTTGGTTTCTTCTTTAATACCTAACATAAACTACTTTTAAAGGTATTTAACATACCTGATGAGCCGGGTGCTGGTGGCTCACGCCTGTAATCCTACTCAGGAGGCAGAGATCTGAGGATCAGGATTCAAAGCCAGCCCAAGGCAGGAAAGACTGTGAGACTCTTATCTCCAATAAACCACCAGAAAACTAGAAGTGGTGCTGTGGCTTAAGTGGTAGAGTGCTCACCTTGAGCTGAAGAGCTGAGAGACAGCACCCAGGCCCAGAGTTTAAGCCCCACAACCAACGAAAAATAAAAATAAAATACTTGATGAGATTCATGGCAAGAAAGTGCAAACTAAGATTCTTCCTGAAACTTGTCATTTTGCATATAAAATTCTGAAAAGCAAAAAGATGGCCAGCTACTTTCTAAAGCTTGCATTAATTGTTCCCTTATCCCATCAAAATGGACACAAATAATTGTGAAAGGCTTTTAAATGAAAATATTAGCATTTTAAATGTACTATGTACATACTACTTATCTAGCCTCCATTGTGTTCTGTGCCTACTTTCATGAAAGGAAAAATCAGCCTTTACCATAATTAAAACCATTTTTCTATGAAATTCAGGATCCCTGTTCTCTCCTTTCAAAGCAATTAAAGTCAACAGGTGCACAAACTGATATTCTTAAGGAGTTTGCTGATTTGCAAAGAGGGAGCGGTGTTTTTCTTTTCTAAAAGCCTCTGGGTGAGGCTTTTCTTAATTAATTGTCACCTCCCGTCAGAGGAGCAGCCATTTTTGTCCTATCCTTTCCACCTCCCCACCACTGAAGCCCCCATCCTGGCATAATCCTTCAATAATAAAGGCACAGGTATAAACGCTATAAATGGATTCCATTTCTGACATTCAAAAGGAAACCACGTAGAACAAGAAAATAAAACCACATTATCAAAATGTTTACATTTCTTAAAGCAATGTAAGAATTTCTTCAGGGAAAATTAATGATGGTTTAAAATGAATTACGAGAGCTGGTTGAGGGGAAGGCACTGGAAATATGTTTGTTTGTTTTTGTAAAAAAAAAAAAAAAAAAAAAAAAGGATGAAGAAAGGCTGGCATTGGTTTCAAAGGATAACACACTTCAACAAAAAAAGTAGAAACGAGGCAGCTGTCAATCAGTCATTGTTTTCCAGGGGGCCAGGTTCATCTCCGGGATTTTCTCCTCCGGAGCTCAACCAATCCCCACCTTTCCAGAGTTAACCAGTCTCCAGGCAAGCCGCGCTTCCTGATTGGCTCAAAGATGTCGAGTAGCAAAACCAGCCAATCCCGCCTTCAAGTGAGCACTGTGCTAAGGAGACGTTACAACCACTGCATGGCGAGAATGTGTACAAACCTGGCCGGGCCACAAATACCAGATCCTAGTTCTAAAGACGGCGGCGCTGAAAGGCACATTCTCGCTTCTGATCTGGTATCTGATCATCTTTCTTTAGGCTCTCTTAAAAAGAGGGCAGGGTTAATTAAAAAAACCAAAACAAAACTGTTGCACTAAAAGAGCAGGAGGGATAAGCTGTGTCCCAGTATGACTCACGGTGTCGAAGCCAGATTTCCAAACCCGGAGCTCAGAGCGCGCATCCCAGCGACACTCAAAGTAGTTGCGGCTGGGGGTGAGGAGTGGCCGGGGTCCGACCACAAGCGCACAGCCTCAGAGCGGGGGGGGCCGCCCCCCCACACCCCCAGCCGCCGCGTCCAAAACCCGAACGTGAGCGGCGGCGTGCTCGGGTAGGAAGAAGTGAGTAAATAAGCAGCCCTGCCAGGACTACGTGCTCGGGAGGGTGGCCTCGAGTTCCAGGACTCCGCCTGGGAAACGCTGGAACGGATCCAGGGGCGCAAGGTCAAATCCCGGCGGGCTCCCACGTCGGGGGGAGGGCAAAGGGGAGGGTGTGTCGGGGCCTGGAGGCTCGAGCCGCACGGGAGGCCGGGCTGCAGCCGCGGCGCCCGCCTTCGCCCGGCCTCGGGCGGCGCGCCAGGGCCCGCCTCTCGACGACGCCTCACTTCCCTTCGGCCGGGTGGCCCGGCCTGCGCCGCGCCGGCCCCGGACGTCCCCGGGCTTCTCTTTCGCATCGCCCCCCCATACCCCCGCCTCCTCGCCGCTGCCACAAGGCCCCACGGGGCGGGACGACGCTCCCCGGCTTCGGGCCCCTTTCCCTCCTAGGCCTTCACCCCAGCACCCAGCTCCTGCCTCCCAACCTGCCGCCCTTACCTGTTCCTGGAGCGGGCGGAGGGCGTCGAAGCCCGGGGGCCGCGTCGTCGAGTGAACGACACGGGTCCGCAACCCTTTCCCGCCGCCGCCACTGCGCTCTCCGGCGCGGCGCGGCGCGGGGCTGGCGGGGCCGAGCGGCAGCCGCGGCGGGGGGGGAAAGACGCGCGGCGAGCGCGCCGGGCGGGGAGACACTGCCGCTCTCCGTCCGGCCAGGGAAGAGCAGCGGCGGAGGAGCCCAGCCGCGAGAGGGCGGGTGGGTGGTGTGGGTGGGCGGCCGGCCGCGTGGGGAGGGGTCTCGCGGAGTCGGCAATGGCTGCCACGTCGCCAGGTGGATCTCCGCCTCCGCCTCCCCCACCCCAAGCCGCGGGCTCCGCGCCGCGACCTCTGGTTTGTCCCGAGCCTCACCGGGGCCGCGTCGTCCCGCCCCGTGGGGCCGGCCCGGGCGCCCCGAGCCCGCGGGCGCTCCCACCTCTCCGGCCGCCCCTCGGAGCGCGAGGCCCGGCCTGGCCGGTTCGGCAAGCCTCGGTCTCCTGCCTTCCCTGAGGGCTCCCCGAAAGCCTGTGTGGTTTTTCCCCCCCGGCCTCCTCCCGCCCTCGTGGTCAGGGGGCCTCAGGGAGGAGCCAGCCCCCTTTCAGGGTGTCAGGTTCTCGGGGACCTCCGAGGGGCCCACGGAACCCGCGGCTTGGGGAACCCTGGCTCTTGCCCGGGGGGCGGGCCCCGGGGTCCCGCCAGCTGCCGTGAGGCCCCGACGCTGCCCAGCCCCGGCGGCCGGACACAAAGGGCCCGCCGCCCCCGCCGCCGCGGTCGCCGCCGCCGCCGCCACACACTCGGACGGCGGCTGCCGGGTCCCATCCCGCGCCGCCTGCGAGCCCAGAAACGCGAGCCCGGCGCGGGGCCCCCCTGCAGCTGGGGTGGCCGAGCCCCAGCCCCGGCGTCACCGTGTGTTCGAATCCCCTTGGCCATCGTGAGCGCCTTCGCCGGGCCCCCAAGCGGGGCCCCACACCACCCCGTGACCTCTCTGCCTCCCGCCCCCCCCCCCCCCCGCGTGTTCGGACCTGACCCTATTGTGGGCTTTCGGGGTGCGAATTGTTCGCCCCAGGCGTTCTGATTGGAGGTGGTGAGAGGGGCTGTTGTTCATCTCCCTCCCTCTGCAATCACTTGGAATCCTCGCTGGCCAAGTACCCCTCCGCACGCTCGGGAGTCAGTCTGTTTAACCGTATTGTTAGGGTGATGGCGATGGCTTTAAACCGAATGTAAATCTGAAGAAAGCGCCAGTGAGATTTGTTTTTCTTTATTTAGGTCCGGTGGGAACACCGACTCACACTCTGTGCCCATTCTAGTGGTTTTTCTAGAAACCAGAGACCTCACGGGGGTGAATTTTCTGATGAAAGCACAGCACCCATACAGAATAATTAAAAGTCAATTTTTCCTTTTTTTTTTTAAATCCTTCTAGAGACACCTTGAGTTTCACTGGTAAGAAATTACTATACAAACCTTTCTAAATGGTCTTATTAAATTAAAAAAAAACACGTAATAACTTGGAAGCTTAAGCTACAAATAGCTGCTGCTGAGAACCTAACATTAACTCTACCTCCAAATACCCATTAAAGAGACTAATAACTGTAATATATGCCACTTTTGAAATGAAAGAACCCTAGTAATTATAAACTTCAAACAAGTCTAGCAAATTAATATTAATTTTGTTCATACCTTGCATTTAAATTCTTAATTTTCTTTTAACATCTGTTAAGTCTGAACATGTGTTAAGTCTGATCAATTTAGACATTGTATTCTTAACATTGAAGAAAACGTTTCAAAGCACAAAGCTGAATGTTTTAAAAATGTTTGTTTACTATGTCAATAAGAGAAAAACACCAATATCATCAAGTTATGAGACTCAAATGAAGAACAAAGCAGTCTTTACTCCACATTGACATTGCAGGAATTCTTTATGAATAAAGAGTTCCTCCTTCCTTATTGGTTCAATTCTAAGCCAATAGGAAAAGTACAACACATCTTTGAAAGGGTGTGACAGCATTAGGTTAGTGCATGGAATCAATGTGTTGTTTAGCATGCTCTTTCTCCTTCAAGATCACATATTGTATAATTTCAAAAAAAAATGTATCTTTGAATTACTATGTGATGTGAGTGCTACTCCTGCTCATACTATGTGTAACCTTCTAGTTAGGAATCTTACAATGTGTTATAAAATGATAATGTGACAATATTTAATTCTCTAAAATGCCAGGCGCTTATGAAAAATGGCACACTGACTACAACTTACCACTTAAAATGTGATGAGCTGGTGTTTTAGTTGAAAAAACAAACTTTAAATGAAGTTTTTATCTGGGAAAGTGTCTTTAGTTTTTTTTGTTTTGTTTTGTTTCTTTTGTCGGTCCTAGGGCTCAAACTCAAAGTCTGGGCACTGTCTTTAAGCTGTTTAGCTGAAGGCTAGGGCTCTACCACTTTGAGCCAAAGCACCACTTCAGGTTTTTGACTAGTTAATTGAAGATGAGTCTCACTTTTCTGCCTGGGACTGGCATAGAACTGTGATCCTTAGATCTCAGTCTCTTGAGTAGCTAGGATTACAGGTATGAGCCACTAACAGCTGGCTTGTCTTCAGTTTTTATAAGTAAGTTGACAAGGCAAAAATAGACATCCCCTGTCCCCCCGGGATATATTGCTCTTGCTTGGCTTTTTTGCTCAAGGCTGGTACTATATTGTGCCACACCACTGATTCCATAAACCTTTTATATTTGTCTACAGCTACCTTTGGTCTGTTTAATAATTTAATTCAAGGGGCTGGGAAGGTGGCTCAGTGGTAGAGTGCTTGCCTTGCATGCCTGAGGCCCTGGGTTCAATTCCTCAGCACCACATAAGCAAAAAGAAAAAAGCCGGAAGTGGCGCTGTGGCTCAAGTGGCAGAGTGCTAGCCTTGAGCTGAAGAGCTGAAGGACAGAGTGCAGGCCCAGAGTTCAGGCCCCACGACCGGACCCAAAATAATAATAATAATAATTTAATTCAAGGCAGGTACCTCACCACTCAAAATACACCTCTAGCCCTTAGCAGCTAAATACTAAATGTGCTTGTTTAAAATGTGCTTGTTTATGTCTATAACACAAACAACTTCCTTTCTATCAGTAGCAGCCTGTGCCACATATGTGCCATATATGTATGTAATACATATATATGTGTATATATAGGTATGTATACATACCACACATCCCTTACTAGATCATCACTTCCTTGAAGATAGGGCTCTTCCTTCCCTCCCACCCCCCCCCCCCCACACACATTTAGCTTTATATTCCTCACTGCCAAACTCAGAGCCTAGTGCAAAATAAATAATGCAGGGACTCAGTATGTGACAAATGTTTTAAAAAATGTCTCTGTCATTCCCAGTTATCATTCCCAGTTAAACTTAGAATTGTTTTTGAGAACTTCACTAAAAGAAAATAAGACCAACATCTGCTGGAACTCCTATGCTTTATCATTTGTCTAATGAGGGGGATAGAGGTATGGCTCAGTGACACAGCACCTTCCTAACATGTGTGAGGTCCCAGAATTTCAAAGCAGCATGTAAATAAATCTAATGGAAACTAGATAGTAGGTAATGTTGCTGTTGTCTAAAGTACATAAACTGAGCCTTCACCAGTGGTTCAAGCCTGTAATCCTAGCTACTTAGGAGGCTGAGATCATGATTGGAAGCCTGCAGGGAAGGAAAGGCTCTGAGACTTTTTTTTTTTTGCTGCCTATGAGACCCTTACCTCTTAATTAACCACAAAAAGGCAGAAATGGAGCTGTGGCTCCTGGTATAGCACTAGCCTTGAGCAAAAAGAAGCTCTGGGACAGAGCCCAGGCCCTGAGTTCAAACCCCAGGACTGATACCAAAAACACAACTAAAGTACATAAGCTTCAGTGAAGTTTTTTTTTTTTTTTCTTCAGTCCTGGGGACTTGCTCTCTACCACTTGAGCCACAGCGCCCCTTCCAGCTTTTTCTGAGTAGTTTTTTGGAGATAATTTCATGGACTTTTCTGACCAGACTACTTTGAACCACAGTCCTCAGATCTCAGCCTTCTGAGTCACTAGGATTACAGGAGTGAGCCTCAGGCAACCAGCTTGAAGTTAACTTTATATAGAATTGCTTTACTGAGGGGGGGAGGGGGAATGAGAGGGAGGGGATGGGAAGGGATGGGAAGGGGAAAGGAAAGAGGAGGCAACAATGCTTGATAAGAAATGTACTCATTATCTTGCCCATGTAATTGTAACCCCTCTATATGGTATTTTCACAAAAAAAAAAAAAAAATGCTTTACTAAACCAAGCATTGGGGGAAACAGGAAGTAGAGCTGTGGTTCAAGTAGCAGAGAAAAGCTCATACAGGGCCCAGGCCTTGAATTCAAGCCCAACACCCACAAAAAAAGATTGCTTTACTACCTTCAAAAAATATACAAAGCGGGCTGGGAAGGTGGCTCAGTGGTAGAGCACTTGCCTTGCATGACTGAGGCCCTGGGTTCGATTCCTCAGCACCACATAAGCAAAAAGAAAAAAGCAGGAAGTGGCACTGTGACTCAAGTGGCAGAGCGCTAGCCTTGAGCTGAAGAGCTGAGGGACAGCGCCCAGGCCCAGAGTTCAGGCCCCATGACCAGACCGCCCCCCCCCCCCAAAAAAAAAAGTACAAACCTGTGGCCTTGGGAAGATTACTTAAGACTTAAGCTGTCATCATGTCAGTTTTCTCATTTCTCAAGTGTACTATCTAGCCAGGCACTGGTGGTTAACTCCTGAACCCTAGTTACTTAGGAGGGCTGAGATCTGAGAATCATAGTTGAAACCAGCCCTGGCCAGAAAGTCTGTGAGACTGTTAGCTACAATTAACTACCAGGAAACCAAAACTGGCCCTGTGGCTTAAAGTAGTAGAGCTCTAGTCTTGATTGAAAAAGCTAAGGGACGGTATCCAAACCCTGTGTTCAAGTCCTACAACCTAAAATAACAAAAAACTAAGAACGGTATCTACTCACTGATTAAAATAATATATGTTAAAGCAAGAGCCTAATAAATAATAGTTATTACTTACTTATTAATGGATTCAGTTGTGAAGAAAAAGTAATTCTCAGCTGGGTGCCAGTGGCTCACACCTAGAGCGCTACCCTTGAACAAAAAGCTCAGAGACAGTGATTAGGCTGAGTTCAACTCCCAGGACTGGGGGGCAAAACTCCTAGCTACTCAGTATGCTGAGATTTGAGGATCACGGTTTGGAATCAGCCTGGGCAAGAAAGTCTATGAGACTACTCAGAAAAAGCCAGAAGTAGTACTGTGGCTCAAGTGCTAGAGCGTTAGCCTTGAGCACAAAAAGGCTCAGGGACAGAGCCTAGGCCCTGAGTTCAAGCCCCACAACCACCAATAGCAACAAAAAAAAAGCTCAGTGGCAGTTCTCAATCCCTATGGCCGACAAATCAGAGGGTTGGTGGCATGGCTCAGTTGGTAAAGTGCTATCTAATGAGCAGAAATGTCAGGTACTCGGAGTCCCAGTCTCAGACCTAAAAAATAATAATTATAGGGCTGGGAATGCATGCATGAAGCCCTGGGTTCAATTCCTCAGTACCACATACACAGAAAAAGGCAGAAGAGGTACTATGGCTCAAGTGGTAGAGTGCTAGTCTTGAGCAAAAAGAAGCTCAGGAACAATGCCCAGGCCCTGAGTTCAAGCCCCAGGACTAGCAAAAAAAAATGAACTATACAACTTGTAGATGGGGATGGGAGGGAAAAACAGAGAGAGAGAGAGACTGAGAGAGAGAGTGTGAAGGGGTGATATTGTCCAAAAAGAATGTACTCTGTACCTGACTTATGTAACTATAATCCCTCTGTACATTACCTTTATAATAACAATCACAAACATTTTTTAAAAAAGAAAAGAAAAGAAGGGGCTGAGAAGGTGGCTCAGTGGTAGAGCTCTTGCCTTGCATGCATGAGG